ATACTCCTGGGGTACATTAGACAGGTCAATCTTCTCGGCTGATGGCGGTCTAAAAGCGCTGATGTTAGGAGGGGCTGCTCCGAGGCAGGACTGGGAGCATCTCGGGCTCCACCCCTCCACTCTTCCCATCTCCCAGTTCACCTGGGGATTGTGGCGGAGGAGCCAAGGGTGACCGAGCACTACTGCAGTCTGTAGGGAGGGAAAAACAAAAAACTATTTCCTCCACATGATTTCCCGACACCCTGAGTTTTACCGGGACAGTCCGATGCGTGATGGTGGTTAAGCTGCGTCCATCCAGAGCCGCCACCGCGAGTGGAGTGGAGAGCCGGGTCGTGGGAATTCCCCACTGACGTACTCGTTCTGTGTCAATCAAAGATTGTTCACAACCTGAATCCAACAAAGCATCAACCGGAAACTGTTTAGCATTAGCATACAACATACAAGGTAACACACTGCGGGACCCCTTAGAGTTCTGACTGCCCACCAGTAGTCCCGACATTACCGGTGGGCACGCCCCTTTTACCAGAACCGGGCAGGCTTTGGCAAAATGCCCAGACCCCCCACAGTACATGCAAAGACCTGACCTCATGCGATGTTCACGTTCCTCCTTGCTGAGTTTGGTCTTTCCTAATTGCATGGGTTCCTCCGGGGGAAGACTCTCCGAGGAATGACTTACTGACCCAGTTGCCGGTGGGTGTGGGCACGTGAAGCTCCCGGTGCCTCTTGTCGAGGGAGATGGCCAGCTTGATCAGCCCCTCCAGGGACTGAGGTTCCGGGCACATGGCGAGCTGGTTCCTGATGCGGCTGTTTAGAGCCTCCGTAAAGGCGGCGATGAGGGCCTCCTCGTTCCAGGCGGATCGAGCCGCCAGGGTACGAAAATCCAGGGTCATCTCTGCCACCGTCCTCTGCCCCTGTGACAGCGTCCACAGCCTCCTGCTTATGTCCATAGGGGATATGTCAGAGCCAAAAGTCAACTTAAATTCGGCCAGGAAAACGTCCAAGGGGCCTGCCAAAAAGGCAGGGTTGTGGCTCTTAGCTTCTGCCCACCTTAATGCTTTTCCTCGTAGCAGTCCAACAATATAAGAAATGCGACTTACATCAGTGTGGAAGGCTCCAGGAGACCGTGCAAACGCCAACTGACACTGGAGGAGAAAACTGTGGCACTCCTCGAACTCTCCACTGTACGTCTGAGCAGGAGGCGCAGGGGCGGTGTGGTAATAGGCGGGTTCCGCGGCCGCGGCCCCTTCAGTATTGAGCTCAGGAACGGCGAGGTTTCCTTGGGAGGTGGTGGCTCTCTCCTGAGAGGGGTCCTGAGCCTGGAGCTGGGTCAAGCCCTGTTGAAGTTGACGGATCATGGCCTCCAGCTGTTGAGATCGTTGGTTAACAATCTGGAGGTGTTCCAATAAGACCGGCAGGGCCTGTTCCTGCTGAGTTAACCTAGAACTGAAATCGGTGAGTGATGATTCCGTGGGGTTAGCGTTTTGGCTGGATGATTCTGTCATGTTCCTGGGAAGGTGTTTAACCCACGACATGAAGAACCATCACAGGACAAAGGCAGAAAGTTCAAACAATGATTTATTAACCCTAACTAAAAGTGTCCTGGAGATATCCAAGTGTGAAGTAGTCGGCAAGAGTCCAAAGCCAGCAGGGAGGGCAAACGGTGTGACGGGGTACGTCCAGGAGAGGGAGCCAGATGATGGCGGCAGAGGGCAAGTGAAGCTGGAGGAGAGGTGAACCTTGGGTGTGTAATCCAGGCGGGTTATGGTGACTTCCAGGTAGGTACATCCATCTGTGGTTCAGCGATTCCAAGTATCCTGAAGATGAAACAGACTTGAGTCCAAACACCAAAAAATCCAAGCACAAAAAAAACCAGATAAATCCAAAAACTGACAGCACAAATGTCTGAGCAGAGACCAAGTAAAACCTAGTACTGAGTGGCAAGATTCTACCGTGAGTAGTTAATCATCCAGCGATGTGAAGTGGTTCCCTCTCCTCTTAAATAGAGCTCTGCTGCGGTTGATTAGAGGATCTGCAGCTGCCGCTGATCGGTAATGCCCCACAGCTGGTGAGTGCCCTCTCCTGGAATGACAGTCTTACAAAGATGTTGTGGAGAAGAGGGAGTACTCACCCCGTCACACAACATTTTTAGGTATTTTTATTCTCATTTATTGTGGTTGTTGTATGTTTTAGAGAGCAAACATCTACCGAAGCCAAATTCCTTGTAAATGTAATTTTACTTGTCCAATAAATCTGAAATCTGAATCTGTTAAGGTGCTTGCAACAGTTTGTGTGTGTGTGTGTGTGTGTGTGTGTGTGTGTGTGTGTGTGTGTTTGGGGGAGGGTAAATTGGAACTTTGTCCCCCCCAGTTTGAAAATCCTATCTGCGCCCCTGGTTCCGACTATCGGCTTGTGGAGCTCTGGATGGGAACCAATGTTTTCCACCCGGTTCTCCCCTCCCCGCAGCTCGGCGCATCTCTGTCTGCTGCGCGGGCTGCCGGCTTGTGGAGCTCTGGGATGGAAACCTTTCCACCCAGTTCTCCCCATCGGCAGTTCTGCGCATCTCAAATCGCAGCGGCGCTTGTCTGCTGTGTGGCTGCCGGCTTGTGGAGCTCTCGGAGACCTCTGTGTTCCACCCGGTTTTACCCAGCGGTCAGCCAGGCGTATCTCTGACTCAGAAGCTCTGGTGTTGTGCACAGTTAACTCCGGTTGTAGCTAGGTTGCTACCTCTATTAGCTTAGCTCCCACCTCCACGTTAGCTTTGGGTTAGCTTCAGGTTAGCTTGTAGCTAGTTCGACCGGGTGTCGTCAGTTGATCCCAGCCTCACAGCCCCACCCTCAGCTCCTCCTCTCTTCCCTTTTGTGGAATTGTCTGGGCTTGACGGAACCTGTGACACGGTCAAAATGGCGGTGGTGGCCACCTCCCATTTTTCTTCAAAAACATGTTATTAGAGCCTATGGAAACCCATTGTCGAATATTTATATGTCGATGGTTATGCCCCAGAGTTATGCCTCGCCTCTGTCAGTGCGCCCCAGGGCAGCTGTGGCTACATCGTAGCTCATCACCATCAGCGTGTGAATGGATGAATGATACACTGTAGTGTAAAGCTCTTTACAAGTGCGGGTCATTTATCATTTACAGAGTTTCGATTGTACTATTGTGTTATCTGGATTTTATTTTATTTTTTTTACAAATGTAATCTTGGTAACCTCACATCCTCAGCACACACAAAATTGTGCGGACCCCCTGCAACCTTTTAGGGATCTCCCTGGGGGGTCGTGGACCCCAGATTGGGAACCACTGCTCTAGATAACTGTTTTTGTCAGGTGATTGGATTCGATTTTTGTCAGCCGTTGTCCTTCCCTTTCATTTTCTGTCCCTGAAACCCTTATTCATGCATGCATCACATCACAAATCCACTAATACAACAGTATCTTGTATGGTATCTCATCGAAAACTCTCACCAAACTTCAACACATCCAGAATTATGCATCCCATCTCCTAATTCACACCTGCTCCAATTACCACATCTCTCTTGCTCATTCAACACCTCCATTGGCTTCCTCTCATTCAGAGCATCACATTCTAATTCCTCCATAATCTGGCCCCCTCCTACCCCTCTGACCTGCTCCACCACTGTGCCCCACCCCACTCCCTCCTCTCCCTCCCCCACCTATGACCATGCTCTGAACCTCATTTTAAAACAGTTTTAAGTCAACTTTTCATTGTTGCATAATCTTCTTCTTTTATCTGGATTTTTACGACTTCACTGAGTGTTTAGAAAAGCACTTGATGAATAAAATGTGTGATTATTCTATATTATGACCCTAAGACCTGAGTCCCACCTGAAGGCTGAACCTCTGCTGCTGCAGCTCTAGAGTCACTGAACCCCCCAGACCACATTAAGGTGGCAAATCCTCAGGGGGGAAATAAACAACAAATAATTCATCAAAATATTTCTCATCAGGTTTTAGCAACTAGAAAAATGCAGACACTCACATGCATGTGCTGTGTTTGAAATAATCATCTTCTCCACACACCACACCCAACATCAGCAGGTAAAGAAAAACAGCTGAGCTGCTGGTTTTAGAGCAGGGATAAAGTAAAATAGCAAAATATAAAATCTGCCAGAACACTAAGTTGCTATGTAGGTCCATCATTGCAAATACACACACACACACACACACACACACACACACACACACACACACACACACACAACAGATTAATGTTAGACTGAATTCATTAAATTAGATTATAATCCCAGCAGCAAACTTGTTGATGGTTGAGGGGAAATCCAGTTCACTCTGCCTTTGTTGAAGGGGAATTTTCAGACTTTTTTAAATGTATTTTTACCAGAGACGTTTGGGAGCCGTCTGGTCTGAGTTTGGCCAGGTCAGACGGACTGGAACCGCTGTAACTAGAAGTGTGGAGTTGTGCCACACGTCTCGCTCCTATTCTGTAGTTTGTGCTCTGAACATCAGCACTGAACTAGAAGGCTTTTCTCCACTAAACTAGAACTTGTTTCATCGGGGATGACGTTTAACAATTAAACCAACTGGATCAACAGACTTGAAATAAAATGTCGGGAAATTCTCGACATTTTTTTTATTTTATCTTTTTTTTTTACCTGACAAAAACGGTTATGCAGAGCACCTCCTCCTCCACCCATGCATTCCAAGTTTCCTTACATCTAGAGGAACACATCCTGAAATCTTCTAAATTGTTTGATTGGTGAGCTCATGGTCCAGAGGTCTTGTGGGCGAGTAGGTCACTTGTAATTTGGATCGATCAGCAGTCTTAATTGAGCATTTAGATGATTAGATTTAGATGATTGACTGAAACCCTGACAAATAATGAACCAGTGTTTGTTTTTTTATTGAGCCTGAAATGACAGGCCCCTAAGTCTCACGGGCCCCTGGCCACGGCCCCGGTTAGCCCGTGCATTAGGCGGCCTTGCAGACATTATTTTAACAGTTTTGTTTTTGTGTGTTTGTGCCCAGGTTTATGGCCACGAATGACCTGATGCTGGAACTGCAGAGAGACAGCATCAAACTGGATGAGGACAGCGAGAGGAAAGTGGTGTGCATGCTGCTCAGACTGTTGGAGGACAAGAACGGAGAGGTGCAGAACCTGGCTGTAAAATGGTAAAAGTGTCAAACACTTTTAGTGACAGAACAGACTCGCATGTGTGCACTCATTGTTCTCTCATCCAGTAAAAAAAACCTAGGAACTGATATGCATTAGTGTACGTTTATGTAGTGGATCTCTTAATTATAATGATGGATAATCACTGTTTGAATTTTAGCCTGGCACCTCTGGTGAGCAAGGTGAAGGAGCCACAGGTGGAGGCGATGGTGGACATCCTGTGTGCCAACATGGCGTCAGACAAGGAGCAGCTGAGAGACATTTCCAGTATGGGACTGAAGGCTGTGATTGCTGAGCTGCCGCTGTCTTCCTCAGGTGAAGGCTGCTAGTTTCTCCAGAGGTGTCCTTCTGCGTGTCAGGAACAGTGATGCAGAAAGTAAAGTGTAACTGCACCATTAGATCCATGCTGCTGAGCTTTTTATCCAGACAGGCACCTGCTGGTAATCACCATCATACAATATTCATCATTGGTGATCCACCTGTTTGAGATTTAAAAATCAGATTTTTATTTTGGCTCCTGGAGGCACCTAGCCTAGTGAACTAGACCAAATTTTTGCTTTGCAAAGTTTGGTCTAGGCATGCTCCATTGGAACCTCTGCAGCTCCTACCAGGACTCTGGCTGGCCAATCACAGCTCTCTAGAGGGGTTTCAAACACATAAAGAGCTGTGATTGGTCCATAATGGTGGGCCAATCATAGTGCTCTATCTGCTTAGTGAACAAATCACAGAGCTTTATCCGCTTTGTGGGACAATCAGGGCACTCTATATGCCTGGTGGGTGGGATGATGCAACAGAGTGAAACAATAGTATGTCACATTCATTGTCCAGTGGCATGCGGAGATCATTTGAAAGACAACGGTAGAACCCGCCCCACAACTGAGAGCCGTCACTGGAGCGTGGCCAGACTAAATAATACATTTATTTAGTCTGGCTTGCCAGGCTAGGAGGCACCATTTCCAAGCAGCAATAAACAAAGTGAAGCATGTTCCAAACTCTGAACTCACCGTTGCTAAGTGCTAATTCAAACCAGCTGTTCTAGACATCTAAAATGCATCGTGACCTGATGCAGAAAGAGATCAGACGTTGATGAGTCACACCGTATGAAACGTGGATTCTCCTTCAGCAGGTGTGAATCTGACCATCAGTGTGTGTAGGAAGATCACCTCCCAGCTGATTGGAGCACTGGGGAAACAGGAGGATGTGTCTTTTCAGTTAGAGGCCCTGGACATCCTGTCAGACATGTTAGGAAGGTAATTATGAGTCTTTGTTGATATCAGGCTCTAAAAAGATCTGGTCACAGACTGATGACTGCACATATTTCACTCTGAGACAGCAGCAGCTCAGGAGGTAGAGCGGGTCGTCCAGTAATCGGAAGGTTGCAGGTACGGTCCTGGCTCCGACCAGAGAATGCCGCTGTTGTGTCCTTGGGCAAGACACTTAATTCACCTTGCCTGCTGGTGGTGGTCGGAGGGACTGTGGCGCCAGTGTTTGGCAGGCCCCATCTCTGTCAGTGCGCCCCAGGGCATCTGTGGCTACATCGTAGCTCATCCCCACCAGCGTGTGAATGGGTGAATGACTGTGTTGTAAAGCACCTTGGGGAGTTGTAGAACCCTAAGAAGGTTAGCAATACAGGCCATTTACCATTTACTCTATGTTCCTGCAGGCTGAGCGGCGCTCTGGTCAGTTTCCACAGCTCTTTGCTCTCCAGTCTGCTGCCTCAGGTAACCTAAACTTCACTTAAACATTATTCTTCCTGTTAGGATTTCATTTTTGCCATCTCCAAAGATCCGCTTCACCTGTCCTGTAACCACAGCCTCTGTCTGCAGAGATGTTGGTCCAGGAAACAAACACACCTGTCCAGCTTATCAGAAGATGTAATTAATCAGAGAAAACAATTTCTACTAGCAGATTCTGTTCAATAATTACCTTCGTCTGATCCTAGATGACACAGACAGAATCCCACTTTTGTCCACATTCCTGCAGTTAAAGATGACAGAATAAAGGAGTACAGCCAGCAGCCAATGCAGAAAACAGACTTTACTGCATTAAACTATTTGTCCAATCATTTATTCATATACATGTTCAGAGTGTAGTCAGTAAGATAATCTGCAGATTCCTGTTGTGATCAAACACGACTGTAATGTTCACATCTGCTATGGTTCTGCTTTGATTAGAATCAATCAATCAAACTTTATTTATATAGCACTTAATCATGCAATACATGCAACTCAAACTGCTTAACAAATTAAAAAGGCCACGCATACCCACATTCCCTCCCATCCCCAGAATTTTAAAAACAGTCTGACAATGAAAACCCCTTCACAACACTCATCCTCCGGCACACACACACATGGAAAAAGTACGATAGGCTGAGATCAGATGAGCCAAACCAACTAACGCCATCAGGGGAGCCATCCGCCCCGACAGCAGCAGATCCACAGCAAACGAGGCACCGACACAGGGTGCCCAGGGCAGGGAGGGCGGAGACCCCCACCTCCACCTAGGCACACCTGGAAAGCACCCAGGCTGCCACAACTGACCACCACCCCCCGGGGCAGAGGGCACCCACAGAGGAAACTCTGGAAAAAGGTTAAATTAAGGTTAAAATATAAAATCATTAGAGCTAAAATGAGAATTGTAATGTAAAAAGTTATATAGATATTAAAATAATGTTGATCATAAATCTATGGTGAAAAACTCTGTTTAAAAATAGCACGTATAAAGAAAGAATACATAAAATAAATAAATAACCTAGTTAATTAATTTAGAATGTGATAATAATCAGTTCAAAGCTAAGTGACAAAGATGGGTCTTGAGCCTGTTTCTAAAAACATGAATGTTCTCTGCAGTCCTTAGGTCCCCTGGCAGGTCGTTCCAGAGGCGAGGACTGTGATACTGGAAGGACACCTCGCCGTGAATATGTGTCCTGACCAGGGGCGGATCTAGAAAATTATTTATGGGGTGGCAGAAGAGGGGAAAACATTTTTCTGGGGTGGCAATACATACATACTCACACAGAGATTATATATATATATATGTATATATATATATATATATATATATATATATATATATATATATATATATATATATATATATATATATATGAGCTGAACCAAGGTAAATCTAATTGCACTGTGTGTAAAGAAATATTTCACTGCAACGAGATATTGTACTTTGGTTTTATTGTTCACTCAGAAACATGTTTTCTTTTATCTTTTCCCAGTATTTACATATTCCTTTGTTTTGGGTGCTCATTTAATAAGCTTAAAGGCCCATCACAAAAATAAAACATATTATAAAATTATGTCATTCCTACAACAGCTGAATGCGACGGTTTCCATGTTGCTCAGCAAAACACTTTACAAATTCATCAAGATCCAAAGATTTTGCCCGTTTTGATTCAATGCTGAGTACAGCCAAGGTTGATAGTCTTTTCTCTGTCATAGCAGACCGCAAATAGGTCTTTATGAGCCTGAGAGTTGAAAAACATCGTTCACAGGATGCACTGCTTACTGGTAAAACAACAGCTATTTAACACAACCTGAACAATTCATGAAAAACATCCTGATATGGGTCTAAAAACTGAGTCATCTCCATCAGAGTGGTAGGACTCTCCTTTCCCCCTTTTTTTTCTCTGCAACACTCTTCTCATCTGATGTAACTCATGTTTGAGATCCTCAGTGTTGGAATCATAAGCTTCAGCCAACAGAAGAACCATCTCCTCTCTCAAAAATGTCTGACTTGATGGATTTAGTGCCTGCACACCTTGCATCATGTTACAGTTTGTGTTAGAAAACCTTCTTCCTATTTCTCCAATCATGTTATCCAGAACTGGATATTACACAGAGACGCAAAAAGTGTGTTTGTTATCTGGAACTTCATGCTGTCCTAAGGTGGAGGCAACGACACTGCCCTGAAGCACCTTTGATATGACTCTTGGCCTCTTTGGTTTGTGCTGAGTTGTCTCAATGCTGCTTCGTGTGCATAACTCAAGTGTTTCACTCCACATTTCCTCAAACGAGTCATGACTACGGTACTGGATCAGTGTCTCTTTAAGTGATTCAACAAGCTCAACAACCTTGGAATAATCCACCGTTTTAGACTGGAGCAGGTCTGATAAATATTTGGAGTCACTGAGAACCTTTCGAAATAGAACAAGACATCTGGCAAAATTTAGATCAATCTGAGCCAATATCCCTCTTGCTTCAACAGCTCTTTGTGGATGTTTCTCAGATGCAATCTCTTCAAGCACCTGTACAATTGCAGGCAACCTGTCCATAACATTGCGACATGCTATGTGCCTACAAGCCCAGCGTGTATCACTTAGCTGTTGAAGCTCTCGTGGTGCACCATCAAACATCTCCCGCTGCACTTCCAGCCATCTGTTATGTACATACGAGCCAGATATGAATGTGTACATTCGTTCCAACAAGGAGAAGAAGTTTCCTGCATCTGCCACACTTTTTACAGCGTCTACAATGACCATGTTTAAGCAATGTGCGGTGCAGTGAACATAAAAGGCATGTTTAGCCACTTCTTTTATTTTAGTTTGGACACCTGCATGTGCCCCACGCATAACTGCTGCACCATCATAGCCTTGACCTACGAGGTTGTCCTTGTACTCTAGGCCATGCTTCTCAAGAAAGTTTATGATCTTGTCACTTAAGGCAGCAGCATCCATCTCTTCTGCCTCTTCAAACTCAAGAAAACTCTCATGAACCACACCACTGTAATGTATCTCAGAACAAATGAAATTTGTCCTTTTTTTGAACATCTCTAGTTTCATCCACAATCACTGAAAACTGCTTGCTCTTATGATTTCCTTTTTAACCATTCCAGCTAGGCATTCAAGTATTTCATTTTGGATTGTTTTACTAGTGTACTTAGCATTTTTCGCTTGTTGTTCAAGTCTTTTTTTAATGACAGGATTATGGTTACTTAGCAAATCTAACATAGATAGAAAAATCCCTTTTTTCTCAGAATCTGAAGTCTCCCTGTGACTCCGCTGGGCGACATTTTCTGTTGCAGTTAGAACAAGGATCTCAGCCAGTGTTTTAATGTAATACTGATTTTCAGTCACCTGTTTCTTATTTTCCTCATCCATTATTGCAAATAATGAAGCATTTTTGTCCATAGTTTTTTTGTTCTCTGTCCATGCAAACATTGCATTTACATGGCTTTCTGATCTTGCATGAGAACAGAAACCGCTGTCTTTCATTTTTGCCTTTTTCCAATTTTGATAACCCTCAAGGGAGGTGAAAACAGTCCTTGGAGCATCAGGGAGGGGAAAATGCCTACAGGCAAAACAGTACGATGAATTGTTCAACTGTGAGTACTCCAGCCATGGATGGGATTTGTACCAGTCACTGTGAAAGCTTCTCCTGGCTCCTCCTTGAAATGTCTTAGGAAAACTCTGGAGCTTTGGTTGTGCTGGTCCCTCACACCAGGACTTGGATATGTCTGAAAGAGAAGAGGTGAAAAGAAATTGTTTTTACGAGATTAATCAGACTGAGTTAACACGCACAGCATAAAATATATGTTTTTGGGTAACTTTCTTTCCCTTTTACACAAAAATGTTTTTCATAGAAAGCAAACATAATAAGGATGAATAAAAACATTCATCTTAAGTTTAAATGTACTGCCTAGAAAAATATTTATTTTGTTTTTAATATTTTGATTCAGATGTTGTATGCAGTGATATATCCATACCGTGTGGACCAGCTCGACTGGAGATGTTTGGTGATGTTTCAGACTCTGTTTCCACTATCTGAGCCCTGCATACCGTCTCGTCTTTCTCCCTCTTCATCTTGGTGGTGATCCTCTCCCTTCTCCATCACTTCACAGCTGTGCCCTTCTATCATTTCCTCCTGTCCCTGATCTTGCTCTTTGTCACATTTGTGTCGCTCTTCTCTCTCTTTCCAGCTCATCTCCTCCACAACAGAGCTGGTTAGTCTCCGTTTGTCTCACCTTACTCTTTGGTGAGAAAAAGCTAGAGATACTACCTTTCCTCTTCATTTCTGAAAGATTGAAAGTCATTTACAATGTTTTCTGGACAAATATTTAATTGATATCTGCTTTTCTGCCATATACAGGCCTAAGAATCTGGCTTAAGCCTGGCGTACACTGTGCGACTTTTTCACTCGTAGCATTCAGCTCCATTTCAAACTGTACAACTTTCTAGCAAATCAAAGCTTGAGCGCCATGTTCGCACACTGCACCGTGTACGCCTGGCGTCACTAACCTACACACAACGCGCTTTGGCGTTTTATCGTCTTAAAATCAACAGCAGCTATTATCATCAAGTCAAATAGCGTAGTTTATTTAGTTCTTACCTCCTCGGTTGCCTTCTCGTCTGCGTCGGCCCGATCTCCTCTCCTCTCGCTTCCCGCCGCTGCCTTCTGCTGCTCAGAACTCGAGCGCCGATGGTGAGTGTGCTGCGTTCAATGTAATTGGACCTGTGACTTTTGCTGCATTTCAATCCATTGCATGGGCGACTTTGTGCTGTGTTCAGTGTTTTTGGACATGCAACATTAACGTTTGTAATGCCACAACTATTTATTGAATTTACAGCTGCCAGCTGGGGTGGCAGCAGGGGTAACAAGGCTTTCTTTTAGGGTGGCAACTGCCACCCTATGCCATCCTTGTAGATCCGCCCCTGGTCCTGACTTTAGGGATGACAAGGAGACGGCTGCCAGAGGAGCGCTGAGACCGCATGGGTTAATACGGTCTAAGTAGTTCTGAAAGATAAGAAGGCCCAAGACCATTAAGACACTTAAAAATCGTTAAAAGTATTTTAAAATCAGTCCTGAATTATATGGGGAGCCAATGCAGTGATTCTAAAACTGTAGTGATGTGCGCCCGCCTCCTGGTCTTCGTCAGGACACATGCTGCTGGGTTTTGTAGAAGTTGTAGACCTGAAATCCTCTTTTTAGGAAGACCAGAATGCAGGGCACCCAGGTTCTTCACGTGTGAAGATGGATTAAGAGACAGTGATTGTAATTTTGGTAAAAGTTTCTCTCTCTGGGCCTCAGGACCGATAACTAAAACTTCAGTTATGTCCTGGTTGAGCTTTTCTGCCATCCAGGATTTGATGTCTAAAATGCAATTAAAAAGTGCATCCATTGGCCGCGTGTCATCAGGAGACACAGAGATGTACAGCTGTGTATCATCAGCGTAACTGTGGAAATTCACCCCGTGTCTCCTGATGACACTGCCAAGAGGGAGCATATAAAGGTTAAAAAGCACTGGGCCTAAAATTGAACCCTGGGGCACACCACATGTAATCCCATGAATCCTAGAGGAACAGGTATCCAAACTCACCATAAAAGTCCTGTCTTTGAGGTAGGAAGTGAACCATCGGTGAACAGCACCAGAGAGGCCGATCCGTTTCAAACGAGTTAAAAAAATAGTGTGGTCTACTGTGTCGAAGGCAGCACAGTTTATCATAATTTACTCTAAAATCATTTAAAATCTTCAGAAGGGCCGTCTTGGTGCTGTGGTTCACCCTAAAACCAGACTGAAAATTTTCAAAACATTATGGGTGTTGATAAAATCATTAAGTTGAATTAAAACAAGCTTTTCTAAAATTTTGCTTAAAAATGGTAAGTCGGATACTGGTCGATAATCGTTTAAGTCATTAAAGTCTAAATTGCTCTTTTTCAGCAGGGGTCTCACCACCGCCTGTTTAAAAGCGGCAGGAAAGACCCCGTCTGAAGGGAGCAATTCATCATGGTTAAAACCTCGTCTCTAAAAGAATCATAAAATAGTTTTAAAAAACTAGTGGGAATAGGGTCCAGGACACGTGTGGTGGGTCTCACTGAGGAGTAAACTTTATCAAGACTCTCAGCTTCCACCAGGACCAAACTGTCCAGTGTTTCCTCAGGTAGACACACACTCTCAAATGTGTCTAAAACCATGTTATGTTGAGAGGATAAAATATTACATCTGATGGTGTCTTCCTTCCCTCTGAAGTGGGCTACAAACTTTTCACAGAGAGTGTTTGAGGGGGTTTTCTGAGTTGAGTTTGGGTTGGAGTTGAGAATATTATTGATATAGAACGTTTGTCTCTACAGGGCGTGTTTACACACAACAAAGATGCATTTATCAGATGACCTGTTCAAGCAATAAGAGTTATGGGTAATAAATTATGTCCTGATATGATACCGATATTAATCTGATACGATATCAGCACAAATCATAGAGACTTTAACTTATTTCGTAGTGTGGAATGTATGAAAGGCTCGATCAAGTGATATTACTCAATTAGAGAACAAGAGCCATTAACAGTATGTTTGGAAAAATAAAAAAAATGACATTTTTGTCTTTACCATTGGTTACAAAAATGTGAACCCTAACAGACCGCTTACATTGGAGATTTTTGATGCCTTCCGATATAATCCGATACACAGTTTTTGGGCCGATATCGACTTACTTCCGATGTCGATATCAGAATGGGACATCCCTAGAAACAATGGCGCCAGGCTGAAATGTTTTAACAAAAACATAAAGGAGGTTTAGGCTAAAGTCACTGTGTGACGTTTAAGTCATTGTAGTCTTGATAGACCTAAAAATGTGCTAAAAATTGTTTTTAACGCAACACATCGAACCTTTGCATCTGCTATTGATATCTGTTGTCCTTCAGACTTACTGTAGTTGGAGGTTGGACACGAAGGAGTTGAGAAACAGTGGGATCCATTTTCATTCAACACAACTACAGCAAACATGCCTTCTTGACATTTTGTGCCACTGCTTGCAGAGAAAAGTGTAAAAATGAAAGGAGGTGACGCGTGTGGACTCAGAAATGGCTGAGCAGATGTGCTGGTAAATGCGCTTTAGCTGCTTCCACATCTGGGTCAGTACGGACTGGTTTGGATAGCTTATTCAATTTCACATCTGGGTCATGTGTGCATTTTCCGTTCTGAGGTGACTGTTTTTCAGATCTCTTCCTTGGCGGTTTGACTGGGGCCAGGGCAACGTTACGGACTGATTGGCCGGCTAATATTCATGTCTGCCACCTATGATTGGCAAGAAGGATCAAGCAGCGGGGGCTTTCCGCATGTGCCATACGTTTTCATTTTAGATGCTGTGGAGTAAACATCTCTGTCTGTAGAACGGAGCTCCCGCTCCAGGGCAGAGGCATACTGCTGCTCCGTGGGAAGAGATGAGAAAGCAGTGTGTGTGTGGCCTTCCCACTTAGCCCTCTGCTGCTGCTGACGATGTTATGAGGACACACACAGCAGTATCAGTGAGAGAACTGGGAGCAAATTAATAAAATCATGTGGTTCAGAGTCTCCAAAAGCAACACAGCTCACGCCCGCCTTTGTTTATCTTATTAAGAAAGACACCACAGACTTTTCCACACATCTTTTGCACCACCCATGCGCTCAAGGATTTCTGCATCCCTCAGAAGTGCTTGGTACCCATAGGTGAACTAAAACTGCACTTACGAGCCAAAACAGACGCGACCCAGCCCTGACTGTACTGACCCAGATGTGGAAGTGGCTTTTGTGAGCGGTTCTGGTACATTTAAGTCGCAGTCCTGCTTCAACAGTGAGAGACCGTCGCGAGGGAAAAGCAGAATCTCAAAAGTTTCTGATTCTCATGCAACTGCACGCTTGCTGATCGGCAGCTGGTCGTGAGGTGTTACAGTTTTCCTCCATTGCTTAAACACTATAACCAACCTTTTGAACTCAAATTCTAAAACCATAATGCTATTTTAAAAAAAGCACGCCCAATTGCCTGAACACACTATTATCTGCTTTCACACAAGTAAGATTTGGTGAGCTGTTATTGCAAAACTCTACACACACATTTTTCAGATGAAATTTACTGCAGATTGCCTTTCCTCCCTCA